ATTGTGGTAGAAGACACGTGTCTAACCAGTGATTAGACTCATGGGTTGTGTCTCGCAATGAAAAAGCAAAGAAGGCAGGCTGTTTTTAGAACAAATTTGGTCTAAAAGTGGACAATGCTACTGTGCAGCGGTAGAATTGGTGAAACAAGCAGAGTGTAACCACCTGCTCGCAAGTTGTTGGTAACCTGGACTGTTTTTCATCTCCCTCGCCATTCTTGTCTCACACCCCGTCTATCCCAATGATTCACATATTCCAATGGAATTCCAAAATGTCGCTGCCTGCGTAAGCGAAAAACATGCATTAATTTAATGGAAGTAAAAGCAAATTTGCCTTACTCTATGTCGAAGAAAGCATTTTCATATTTTGAGTTTTTTTGGCAGGTAGCCTTCCCTTGGGCCATGACTGAGGCTTTTATTCACACAGAAAGGCAAATTTCAATGGTGTGTCAGGAAATCCGAAATAGAGGCATCCAGTAGCGTCAGTAAATAAGCGGCCTCGGTTGACCTTTTTTAACGTTGTCACTCAACGTAACGAATTAAAGTGTCACTTTTGCAGCAGTGTATTTAGTAGAAGTTGAAAAGCACGGCGTTTATTTTACACATAGTAGGTTTCTAAACTCGACAATCTATCCGGTTTACGCGGTGACTACTTCGTGAGTGTCATGGTGAAATGTAAATGTGGCATTAAGTAGTTCTTTGGCAGATCTGTACCGTATTCGACATGATGTATGTGAAACTGACCCCGGATGCGAAAACATCTCTTCTAGGCAGATGTCACCCAGGAAATGATCGGCACCACTATCGATAGGGTTGGATAGGATTGGGCAGGAGGCTATAAATACAGATTTGTGGGGGATGTCTTAGATCGACAACTTGCTCTGCGACGTACTGTTGTCATCTCGATCTCTAATTTCAAATCTTTCTAAATTTATCAAATCAGTTACTTGACTGTCATGTTTGCTATGATGTCTGCTGTTAGATCTTTACAGGTGTTTTGAACAGGTACTTTGTTCACTGCTAATCTTTAGGCTTGGAAACCAGTATGTTTTGTCGATGTAGTGGCAATGGCAAAACTGTTAAAGCATTATGACGGAGATGAAATGGACTCCATTAGAGAGAGTCAAAGTAGATGGATACTCGGTCCTCGAGAACCTTGCAATCAACATTTCATTGTTATTGTCCACATGAAGTAAAGCTCCGCTTTTATTTTTTGTGTTTAAAACGCGGTCATAAATGGGCCGTGCTAATCCTCTCCAAGTTATTTTGGTAAATTTTCTTCAAATTTAACCAAGCTAATGCTCAAGGTCTTGGCTTGATTAATACGATGCAGTAGATCTGAACTGTTAGTTATTCCTCACCTCCGCCAGTAAAGTGGGTGATTGTGGCCTCCACGGGGAGACACGAGGAAAGACAGTGAGGCATGTCACATGTCTACTGCCAGTGCCTAGACGCCTCTCTTTGATGAGGGTCACACTGTGTTGCAACATACTCCCAGGCAAAGCAATTTCTACAAAGCGTTGCCGACGAGGCCTAACACAAGCGCTAGTACTTTGACTGGTTCACAAATGGGGATTTTCCTCGTGATGAAGTACATGTGATGGCACTAGGCTGATGGAAAAGCTTTCTCGTGATCACTCTCATATTTGGAGGCAAAGTGACTGAACAAATGCAACAAGTG